TGTTAAACTTGAAGGAATGTACTTAATTACTGTATTTTTTTTTACAATATCAGATAATTTAATATGACAATTTTAAATGTCTGCAGACATATTACAGACTATAATTTATAATTCACCCAAATTAGCAAAACAAACAACTGAGAGAGTAATATATCTTAGTACGATTAAACAGATAAAAAAGAGGACAAAGATGTAGCCGACTGGGGAAATGATTGGCAAATGATTAGCCTTCTCACACCATAAGGCTGCCTTCCACATGGTTAAGATAGTTCAGGGATGAAGAGCCCAGCCATTGGTTAAGTCACTGCCAAAACAGGGTTCGCGAGCTGACCGAAAACAACATTAACAGGTGTGCTCCAATATGAATTCCTGTTACTGCAACCGGGGCTGGACAGGGGCAGACTGCTCCATTTTCGACAACAGCTCTATCTACACCACCCCCTACCCACCCGAACCCGGCAGTCCTTACCCACACCCCATGGGCAAGACCACCGCGGCAGCCCCGACAAGCGCCTGGAACATTGTGCAAGGAAGAAACATTCAATATGGTGAGCTTGAACGTTCGGCAGTTGCTGAACAACAACACTTTTATATTGGTAATGTTGTCTTATTAGTTTTGATTGAGCTTATACATATACAAATTTGATGTACAGAGTTTATGGTATATATATATATATATATATATATATATATATATATATATATATATATTGTTTTGTTTATCTTTGGCCCAGGGTTTTATGTGAAGGTTAAAATCATCTTGAGGGTTTAAGAGACCAATATATTGAGTATTCAGTTCATTATTGGGCTTTTCTGTTTTTAGAGCCTCTGGGGTTTCTTTTTTCGGTTATGTGAGGCTTTTGTAGACTCTCTTGTATATATTCTATTCATGTATCACTTCAGCTCATTTTTTCAGAACTGAAAAGGGGTTCTCTTGTTATGGATCTTGAACATTTTTTCTCTCATCCTCAAACAGTACACATTGATTAATTGATGTCCGAAGTTCATCATTTTAACTTTTTTATCAGATTTTCATCCCTATAGATTTTTTTGGATTTCACAAAGCAGAGGATGGTATTCAGATTGCCAGAGTATTTATGACGTGAATATGATGTCACTGTGAACTCATGTATTTAAGAATCTTAAAGAGTTTGATTCTCTCAGACTTTCACAGATTGTGAATGAGACTTTCCACTTCAGTACAGATGTGACTGACTTGCTCTTGAAAACTTGTTCAGTTATGAATTAAAACTTGACACTAACTTCATTGTGGTTATATGCCCAAGCCTTTTGGAATTTGTTCTCATTTAATTGGTTTTACGTAATTCATGTTTCATTAACAATGAAAAGAGCACTTTTAAAAAAGTACATGAAATATTCTGTACGTTTTTTTGATAACTGATCATAGATATTTGCACAAAAATGTAGTGATTGGCAATTCCCACGATAAGGAATTCCCACAATCAATTTCAAATGGTCATTCATATACACCACAGAGATTTAATTCATGGCTTTGTTTCTAAGAGGTGAAAACTTTTAAGGTTTTTAATGACTAATATCCCTTAGAACCTTCTTAGAGTATCAGTTTGAAAAAAAAATCTCAAAAAGCCAACAAGACGTTGCTGTGTGGATCTCCTTTTTTTCTTGTGAGAGCGTAAGTGTGTACCAAGAGCATTGAGAAAACCCCTTCGAGCCTGCCTTACCTTTTTTAACCCGCTTCTTGTACATCCCCGACAGCAATCAAAAACGATCAGTCGCAGGGCCTCGGGAGAGTGGCTATGGTCCTCTTGCTAGTAGGCGGAGTTGGAGGCGTGTTCTTATTTTTTACTCTAATAGCAGTTTGCTACAGGTACTCACACACACATCCCCCCGTATCTTTTGCCATGTATTTTCGTTGATGAGAAATAACTCCCTCGCTACGTACTGTAGATGGATTGGTAGGAGCATTTGCCTGGCTGTGGCAACTGGCAACTCCCCCTACCCCCCTTCCCCTCCCCTCTTTGTCTGATCCTTGGCAACAGTCATTCCAATTGCAAGCAAATGCAGCAAATTGCAGTACATTGCGTTGATGTTCTTTTCCCGACATCCTTGTTTTTCATATATATATATATATATCGTATGCCTGTAAAGAACGAGAGCATTTTCTCTCTCTTTTGAAGTCATTGAGGGTGATTGGTGTTGCGGATCAGGCAAGGATTCGTGTGACTGAAGCTCTTGTGTTGAACATCTGTGGAACATCTGTGGATTGCGTCAATGTGTCGTCTGTCCCCACGGGACACCTACAGCTGTTATGATGTCTTTCACCTACTTTCAGCTCATTGGGTTGCTGATTGGTGCTTCTGTCTCTTCATGTATTCTCATACTTAGCTTGCAACTTTCTGCGATGTGGCAAGAAAATTTACATGTTCAGTGTGTATTTCATGCTCGACCCATGATTGACGAACGGAAGCTCACGATATAAAGCTGTCCTTGGGCAGATCGACATTGATTGTATTTGTTTTTCATTTTTTTACGACAAGCTTTTAGATGGTAAGCTTCCCGTTCGGTTATTGTCCAGCGAGAAAAGAAATCCTAGATATCTCTGGGTCCTAAAAGCCAGTGATGGGTTGCCAGGACACAAGCAATGATATGATGTTGACATGCTAGATATTATGTGAAGGGCTTTATTGTGAGAGTCCATGTTCTCACCTGTGTTTCCCCCTCGCTCTCTTCCCGCCCTGCGTGGTGTGTGGCTGTGTGTCCTACCCCTCACAACAACTCGCCTGGTCCGCCTTGTCGGTCCACCATCTTGTTACAACCGCCATCTTGGGTTGAATCACCATCACACACGCCATCCTGATTACCACTCGTGTGGCCTTATCTATCTGACCCTGGCACAACCCGTGATTGTGGGCACAAAAATCACTCAATCCATCTATAATCACACCGACTGTACTCCGCAGTTCGTCTCGCGTGTGGCGGCTCTCTTGTAGTCACAGGGGGCAGCAGGGAACACCGTGTTCCTCGTGGTGGGATTGGTGTCGGGAATGGGCGGGGTGTTCTTTGCGTTTGCGTTCATGGCTTTGTGCTACAGGTCAGTAGTAGTCCACAAAAATTTCTCCCTGTGCCTAAGGTCAGTAAGATCTTAGTCTAAAAATAGCATAGCAAATATTTAGATTATCTTTTTTTATTACTACCATTACATCTCTCTCTCTCCTTATTCCCACTCTTCTCTCTATCTCTTCCTCTTCCCTGGCCCGATCTATCGCTCAAAATGCTTGGCTTTATATTTCTTTATATTGGCACATTATCTTTTGTTTATTTTATTCAAAGAAACTGTGACTGTTATGAGAGGAAACCAACCAATCGCGAGCATTCTTAATTATTACTTCTTCAACTGTGTTTGACGTCACACAGGGCAGCTTTGAAATTCAAACGTTTTTGAACAAGATTCTTGATACCGAAGCAACCTGTCTTAAAGACAATGTATCACCCAAGCCTCAAGTCTTTTTTTTCAACAGAAGACTTTGAATTTTGCGATTCTTCTTATGCCCCAGTCAGTCCAATAGAAATCGGTGATTTCAATTGTAAGGGTAAAACATCAAGTGAACCCTTGCTGATATAAACGGTATTTCTAAAACAACTGATGCATCCAGTGAACCCAGTCCCTTTGCCCCTAAAACAGAATTGGGTAGTTCATTAAATGCCACTCTCCAATCTATAATATTAGTTTAGATGCATGAATTAGGCTTGGTGTAATCTACAGCAGCATTGGATGCCCCAGGCTAGTCGCTGTGACTGTGGAGGCCCATGTAGATTGATTTGGGTCTCGTGGTGCACTCAGCAGGATCAAAGTTAACAGTCCCAGAGAGAGAGAGAGAGACAGAGTGGTTCTTCTTTCAGCCACTGAGCTTGTGCGAGGAATTGCCGCGGAGCCAAGTTCGCGTCGTCACTTTTGCTAGACAATGATAAAGCCAAATATTTTGAACTTTCTGTTAATTACCCACGGATTATTTTCTCCCTCCCAGGGAAAACAAATAATAAGAGGAGTAATACAAGTGATTGCTTAAGGAATAGTAGTAGTGATATATGAAAGGCTCCTGCTCATAATTTGTGCTGTGTCTTGCAGCTTTCAGCTGTCTCAGCAACAGACTGAATGTAAATAAGTTGGTAGCTTTACTGAAATCTATGCAATTTTAGATTTAACAATAGTCAGTGTCATGTTATGCAATAATATGCCTTTTTTCTAATGGCTACATCTGAGGAATTATTCCCATGGCCATGATATGAGCAGAACACACTGTGCTAGAAAATAATCAAAGATCTTATGAATTGAATTCACACAAAAAAATCATATAGTAGATTGCAATATGCGTTAGTTATTCATGCAATAAGTTAATAACTGGCAAAGACTGTCCATTCATTTATTCAAAGTGTGATATTCCAAAAAGTATTTTTACAAAGGTCAAATGATAGTACAAATTAGAATTAGACTTTGTTGTAAATGAATTCAATTTTCATCTATGGATTTTCATGGGCAGTGTGATATGAATGTGGCCAAATATCATGGTAAATGGTTCCACACATTTAATACATGCACAAAATGAAACACATTAGTTTATTCTAGATCATTGGCAGTAGTTATGGAAACTCAACATCAATACCAAATCCATTACTGCAATTTTTTTTTCTTCTTTTATATGGATGTTCAGCATAGAACTTAAGTGCATCAGATACTCACAGCATTCTTTGATTCTCATCCATTTTTTCATTATTTAAAGAAGGTGTAGTTTGTCATACGCCCAGTAATCATATTAAGGATTTTGTAATGCCATAACTTTTTTATGAAACAGGAAATGTCAAAGGTTTGAGGAGCTTATTCGTACACATTTTTTATATCTATACAAAAACACTGGGAAATTTAAAAAGATGGTTAGTTAGGTTATTCCCAAAGAGATTTACAGCAATTCAGAAGGTAATATTTGTTTTTAAAGGCATTTTATAGGGCTATGCTGTGTTAC